TCTTCCTCACCATCACCACCACCAACTTCCTCACCGTCACCGCACCGTCTTCCTCACCGTCACCGCCACCATTCTGCTCGCCCTTTCCCACATCCAAACAAAGCTGCAGAGTGCAGCCCATGTTCCTTCATTATCCCATTTTGACCATCGCTGCTGCCATTATTCACTCTTACAGTTAAGGATGCAGAGGTTCAGAGAGGTCGAGGGGCTAACCCAAGTCACATGGCCCGATGAGGTGGAGGTGGGGGAGGATGGATTGGGAAATCTGCCCTGGAATCCCTGTTAGAAAGTGTCAGCAGGGCACAGGTGGGGTCTGTGTGTGCACTTGTGTAAGTGTGTCTGTCCTGATCATCTCTGTGCACCTGAATCTGGGTACATCCTGAGTGTGTGGGGTGCTTGGGCAGTCTGTGGTGCCTTGGTAGGTGTGGATGTGCGGAGCTGTGCTGGGGGTGTCCTCAGGGTCCAGTGTGTGTATGTGGCTGGGTGCTGATACATGCATGCACATGGCTGCTCCACCCCCTTCTCAGATGCCTTGGCTCCGGGTTTGACAACTGAAACCCAGCTGCGCTCTGGCCGGGAAACCTAGGAGGAGTCAACAGTCCCTAAAGAGGGGCTCCACATGCCGCCAGCAAGCGCGCCTGGCCCAATGCCTAATTCCCTGCAAATGCTCTTTCAATCTGTTTCTAATTTGGACTCTGCCTTCCCCTGCCCCCACCCATCCCTTCCCACCCTCTCGACTTGCCTGAAACCAGTCAAATTATGCTGAATAATGGCTGCAGAGCGGGGAGAGTGCTAAAGGTCGCCAATGGGCTGTCGGAGGGTGTAATAATGTCACATTTTAATTTACACAGGGAACGGCGCACGAATCAAAACCAGTAAATAATTTGGGCTTCACCAGCAGCTGTGGCCCACAGTAACTCCTACAGGTCATGCCACTTCCCGGGGAGAAATCACTAACTGTCACACCCTGAAGTCCACCATGCTTGAGAAAACCCATGTGCATATGTACAGATGTAAAATACCACATTTTCTCTCTGCAAGGGGACCATATTTGGAGACTTGCAGCATCAGCAAGAATCTCTCCAGTTGTTTGAGTATTACCCAGATGTTCTGGGTATTAAGATTCTAAAACAAAATATGCCTTCTGTATATTTTGCTGCCCTGTGAAATACTCAGCTCCAGGCTGACCCAGATGCATGGGAAAGTGTATACAAAGCAGAGTGAGGAGCGTGGAAAGCAGGGCTGTATGTCCACATTGACAGCAGCTCTGAAAAACCAATCTACATGCAGAGAAAGGCGGGAGGGGCTGCTGGGGAGACGTCTGTTGGAGCTTTTTCATGCTGAGGGGTTGGGGGTATGATTTGAGGTACAGTTGTTTTAATAATTAATATAAACTTAAAAAGAGTGCATGTGGTGGGGTGCGGTGGCTCACGCCTGTAATCCTAGCACTTGGGGAGGCTTAAGTGGGCAGATCATGAGGTCAGGAATTTGAGACCAGCCTGGCCAACATGGTGAAACCCATCTCTACTAAAAATACAAAAATTAGCCTGGCGTGGTGGTGGGCGCCTATAATCCCAGCTACTTAGGAGGCTGAGGCAGGAGGATCGCTTGCACCCGGGGTGTGGGGCAGAGTTTGCAGTGAGCCAGGATAGTGCCACTGCACTCCAGCCTGGGTGACAGAGCAAGACTGTCTCAAAAAAAAAAAAAAAAAAAAAGGAAAAAAAAGAATGCATGCATTCTTTGAAGGCAGGGGACTTGCTCTACTGACCCCTTTTGGTCCCTTGCAGACCGATGAGTTAGCTGGGAGCCCCAAAGTGGGGAGGTCTTGAGATGGTTCTCGCCTGTGTTTTGTGGCTGAGTAACCCGGGAAGGCGGAAGGCGGGAGGAGGACAAGCTGTAGGTTTTCACAGCATCTGGAGCCCTTTGCTGGGAGGCCCTGCCTCTGGTGTTCTGGTGAAAACTCCGTTCCCTCCCCCGAGCCTCCGGAGCATCCGCAATTGGTGTGTGCTCCAGGGGCTGCGGAGGGGGCCTGGCGTGCTGCCCACCTCTCAGCTGGCTCTGCCACTGCAGGAAGGTGGGGTTTGCACCCCGCGGGGCCACTGCCTTGGAAGCTGTGAGGCTGTCAAGACTCTGGAGCTGCAGCTTCTCCATCTGGCTGGAAAGGAAGCAGGGGAAGAAGCTGCTGGGGTTGAATGACACCCTGAGGACTTTGCTCCCCTCTTCCTACCACACAGCAGACCCGGGCCACCAGGATGCCTGGGTGAGAAAGGGGCGGGGCGGGGGCCCACACTTGTATTGCACACCAGAGCCTGTCTCCTGTTTCATCCCTCAAGGTGCTTCCCATTCATATTCTTTTTTCCATTTTCACACTGTTGCCATCTATTTAGTTGTGTGTGACACTAAGGACACTGCCTGTGCCAAAATCCTCATTTAATACTCAGAACACACCTGCGAAGTATGTGTGGCAAAGAAGGCTAGCTGTCCACTGGCCAAGGGCGGACTTCTCCTTCCTTTAGGGTTGAGTTTCTGCTAAGCAAATGGCTGCAATTTTCCAATTCCCTTATAATTAGGTCCAGCCCTAGGATCGAGTTCCGACCAATGGAAAGTGAGCAGTGGAGTGGGTTGCTCCATTCCAGAGCCTGCCCTCTGGAAACCTCCCAGAAAGCTGTCTCCAAGTACCGCCCCTTCTTCCTGGATGGAGCGTGGGCACCCCACCATGACCTTCGAGGCTATAAACTTGAAATGGCGGAGCATCTGCCACCTTGGGGATTTGAGTGACTGTGTGGAGACAGACTGCCCAGACAGCATGTTCCCAGCCTTGTCCTGAGCAAGAAATAAACTTATACCCTATTGTTTCCCAGTCATTATACTGTTGGGGGTTTGTTTTAGCAGTGAACATACCCTAAGTAATTGATTAGAAATTTTCCTTCCTGTTGTACAAATGAGGGAATCGAGACTCAGAGAGGAAAATTCATTGCCCAAGGTCACATATTCAGTCACTAGCAGAGTCACGATGCCAGCCTAGGCCTTCCTGGCTTCAAGGTCATGCTCCACTTATGTGAGTTTCCCCAAGTGTGCTCCACAGAGCGCTGCTGAAACCCCGACACCATCACGACAACGCCCCGCAGCTCCCATGCTCAAATAAGTTTGGGAAATGCCAGCTTCAGGTCAACGGGTTTCTTCGCCGCAGTCCTTTCCACGTCACCATGCTAATGATACCTGTGTATTACCACCAGAGCATCTAACATGAAGGATTTTCCAATGGGTTGAACTGTGTTACTCTCTCAACCCTCTGAAGGATTCATTGAAGTCCTAACCCTCGTATGTGACCTTATTTGGGTACAGGGTCTTTGCAGATTTAACCAAGTTAAAATGAAGTCATCAGATGGGCCTTAGTTCAATATGACTGGTGTCCTTAGAATAGGGGAAATTCTATTTATATAATTTTAAATATAATATATATGCGTCTCTTTATAACACAGAGACAAGCAGACACAGAAGGAAGATGATGTGAAGACGCACAGGAACACACAGCAGATAAGCCACAGGAGGGGGAGGGCTGGAGTGGTGCGTATGTAAACCAAGGAATGCCAGAGATTGCCAGCAAACCCCAGAAACTAGAAGAGGCAAGGAAGGCTTCTCTCCCAGAGCTTTCCAAGGAAGCACAGCCCTGCCAGCATGCTGACTTCGGCCTTCTCACCTCCATCACTGTGAGAGCCCACGTGTCTGTTGTTGAAGCCACCCAATTTATGGTACTTTGTAATGGCACCCCTGGGAAATGCATACATTGCTTGGGGCTCCTTTCAAAACCAAAATTTCTGGGCAATGTTATCTTACTGATAATCATCCAAATGACAAACAGTGGTGGCTTTGGTTTACTGACAAACAGAGGAAGGAAAGGAGAGCCTGGAGGGACAAAGGGTAGCACCACAGAGCTGCTTGGAGCTTCAGCTTTGGAGCCGAGGAGGCTGCTCTGCACCCGGCTTTTTTCACATCCTGGGGCACAGTCCTCCACCGCTCTGGACACAGCTGCCTTTTCTATAAGGGTGGGGCTAACACGTATGTCATAGGTTGGCAGGAGGGTTAAACAAATTAACATACCCTAAATGTCTAGTCTGGTACCTGGCAGATACCCAGTATCTGTTCCTTTGACTCACACAAGCAGGACTGAATCCAAACTCTGCTATTTACCAATAATGTTGCCCTGGGCAATTTGCTCAATCTTTCAAAGTCTGGGTTTCACCATCTAAGCAAAGAGAAAGTAATGCCTGTTGTTAAAAAAAACCATTTTAAAACAAGGTAAAATTCATGATTCTGAAATAGATAAAAATGAGCACATTATCATTATGAATGAGTGAACCAGTGACATTACAACTGATTCAAAGAAGAATCCAAAGACCAGATGTGTTTCTAGTTATGGAGTGTTGATGTTCAAGTGGCCGCGGTGATCTGGCTTTTGCACTGTGTGGGAGGGTGGATGGAGCTCGTTTGCCGGTCCACAATTCAGGGTCACTGTGCGTCCTCTGTTCCCTTGAACTTTCAGAGCAGTAAATTAGCCCAAAGTCTAGAATTAGATAATCCAGAGAGTACGCTCTCAACAATAAATAGTTTTCTCTTGGAGAAACCCTGTAATCTTTGCTTATTTCAGATTTCCTTATAGTCTCACATATTTATATGCGTAGGATTGAGGAGAGTTGGATACATGAAAAAAGGAAGTTGCTGAATCAGGTATAATCCTATTTTTATAAAAACAAACAAACTGTGTGTATGGGTATACATATGCACACACATGAGTGGGTGTGTATATGTAATGTTGATTAAATATAGACAAATGTCAGGAAGTATACACAAGGATTGTAAACGATGGCTACTTCTGGAGGGCAGGTCTGATGATGGTGATGGTGATGGTGGAGGCAGACTTTCATGACTTATTTTCTAAACTTCTGTGTTGTTTGAATAAAAACAAATACCTACTCCACAGTATATTGTGAATAAGGAATGTCTGCGTGAGAAAAAAGAAGTGTCCATTGTGCTTCACACAATGGGTAGCATTCAACAAATCACAGGTTTCATCATTGTTCTTATTTTACATTCAACTATCCCAGAGCCCCCTAAGCCTATTCCAGGGAAGGAAATTACAAACAAGAACAATGCTATTGTAGCCCAAGGACCTCTCCCTTTGTGGTAGGCTAGTTTTGAAATCCTTGACTTGCATTTTGACTCCCTGGAGGTGGGAGGAGGTCTCCATTCTCCATCCTGAGATACAGCCTTGGAGTGGCTCCTGTCTGTTTCATTTCCTTAGCCCCCACCAGCAGCCCCACTCTCAGGCCCACCCAGTGTTTAGCTGTGACAAACTCCTTGGCCACAGGAGGGAGGCCTGACTGGGGCCAAACTCTAGGGTGAAGGGTTGTCTATGCCCTGTGCCATCTTCTTGCCCATACGGGAACTAGGAGACACCTATTTGTTCCATTGGAGTCTGGTTACCATCCCCTACCCAGGGAGGAGGTGCTGGTCACAACAGGTGAAGAGACAAAATAAAGTTGTTTTTTTTTTTTTTGAGACAGAGTCTTGCTTTGTCACCCAGGCTGGAGTGCAGTCGTGCGATATCGGCTCACTGCAACCTCCCCTCCCGGGTTCAAGGAATTCCCTGCTTCTGCCTCCTCAGTAGCTGGGATTACAGGTGCCTGCCACCATGCCTGGCTAATTTTTGTATTTTTAGTAGAGATGGGGTTTCACCATGTTGGCCAGGCTGGTCTTGAACTCCTGACCTTGTGATCTACCAGCCTCCGCCTCCTAAAGTGCTGGGATTACAGGCGTGAGCCACTGCACCCAGCCTGAAATAAAGTTTTTGATCACATGAAGCTAAGGATCTAATTTCAACCTCTGACTCATCCTCCAAAGGGCAGCTTTGGTGCTTCCCAAAGGGCTTGGGATGGAGTCAGGAGACCCAACCCTCGTGCAGGTTTGGCTACCAACTAGCTGCATCTCTATGGACTGTGTCTCAGTTTCTCTATCTGCCTAATGACAGTAAGAGTAAGGTTTATCTCCAAGGGCTATCATGAGGCTCAGCCAAGGTGATATCTGTGAGCTGTGGGGTTCTGTAGAGATTTAGTTTTCACTGATGCAATGAGGTACTCAGGATGTTTAATATGCTTTAATAGCAAATGTTACGTGGCACTTACCATGGCGTGCAAGGCCCTGTTATATCTGATTTACATATGTTTAGTCATTCAATATTCACAGCAGTGCTAGGAGGAATGCACTGTTATACAATCCCCATTTTACAGATGAGAAAATAGAGACAATGAGTGCTGAGTAACTTTCCCCAAAACTTCCCATGGCAACAGTCACATCTGGACAGAACCC